GGGGGGGGGGGGTCTGTCCCAGGCTCCTCTCCTTAGTTTATATGTAGATGGTGATCTTCATGTTCACATGACATTTTCCTGCCCTGCCTGTCCGTGTCCTAATTTCCTCTTCTTGTAAGGACATTCGACATTAGTCACATTGAATTAAGACCCATCCTAATGGCCTCATTGTAACTTAATTACCTTTTTAAAGACCCTGTCTCAAATGCAGTCACATTCTGAGGTACTAGGGGTTAGGACTTTATATGAATTTTGGCATCTTGGGCAGTGTGGCTCATTTGGTTGAGTATTGTCCTGTGAACTAAGGTCACCGGTTTGATTTCCGGTCAGAGTACTTACCTGGGTTTCTGGCTCCATCCCCAGTAGGGGCATGCAGGAGGCAGCTGATCAGTGTTTCTCTGTCATCAATGTTTCTCCCTCTCTCTCCTTCCCCCTTTCTCTCTCTCTAAAATCAATAAAAACATATTTTAAATATGTATATATGAACTTTGGGGGACACAGTTCAGCCCATAATGAAGCCTGAGGCTGGTGCTGGGTACAGCGGTAACTAAAACGCCCCCCCTTGCCCTAGAACCCATGGTCTGCTGGAGGCAGTGGTAGGTAGGGTGCAGTGTGGGTTAGGGGGTGACTGGCAGCCTCCTCCATTACCCACTCTTTCTTCCCTCCTTCCAGCTCCGATGAGTTGAACTGCGGCAGCAGCGAGGCCTCCAGTGCAGATCCCTGTGAGGAGAGACCCCAACAACCGAAACCCCTGCCTCTCCTGCAGCCCATTACCCGTCACAGTTCCCTGAGGGAACCCCTGACCAGGGCAGCCTCTGCACAGGGCCCTGAGGAGCCCCGAGCTCTGCACGGTGAGCAGGGAGCCTGCCTGCAATGGGAGATGGGCTTGCTTGATCCTGGGACATGCGGGAGCAGAGAGCCCCATGGCCAGTTTTAACCCATGGAGGACCAGGTGACAGGAGATATGACCTGCAGGCTCAGAGGCAATGGGGCTGGGACTTTAGGGGCCTGGGGTGCAAGTGGCGGTTACCCAGGTCCACTTCCTTCTTCATGGGGAGCTTTGGAATCTTGAATAGGAAGGTGGCAGGGGGCCTGGCTGTCTGTGTGTCACAGGCAGGCAGAGGTAGGTACCCCAGGACCCCCTTGCCTGTAGCAGTCTCCTTCTTACCTCTTTTGTATCTCCTCAAGGCCACTCTGGCATTCCATAGCCCGCCAGGGAGGAGAGGTGGGCTCAGCTGCTGTTGGACCACATGCAGCCCCAGGCAGCACACCTTCCCTGGGGCTACTTGGGGCAGCACAGGGCCATCGCCAGTGCTCAGGGCCATCGCCAGTGCTCAGGGCCTGCAGAGTGCAGTAAAGCTGCCTACATCATAATAGATGGAATTCCACTGAGTACCTGGAATGGGCAGGGGTTTTCCCATACACAGTCCCATTTATCCTCAGATGACCCTTGAGGTAAGTAATATGAAGCCCAGTTTACAGGTGAGCAAATGGGCTGCTTTCTTGAGGCCTTCCAGTGGACAGTGTGGCCCCAATACTGGGTGCTTCTACACCCTAAGAAGTTGTCCTTAGAAGCCCAGCTTGTTTTAATACAGGTGGCCACCGATGGGTGCTTTGATTCAGCCATCAGCAACGTGAGTCCTCTGGTGGGAAGAACAGGCCAATAGAAACTTGTCACCAGCAGGACCAATGGCCTTGGCTGCCCTGGGAGAGCAGGAGCGCAGCTTGTCCTGCACTGCCCTCTAGTGGCTTAGAGCAGAATTGGCACCTGAACCCAGAAATGTTCTGGGGGGTGGTTTCCCAGGAACCCCCGTGAAAGGGGTGGACCAGGAAGACCAGGGCAGAGGCCACAATCCTGGAAACTCTGAATTCACCCTCCCCTGTGAGCCTGCTTCTGAAAAGGACAGATTTGCTAAGTACCATTTGGCGTGTTGTCCATAAAGGCTTAGCGCCTGCAGAGAAACAAGTGCTGTGCTGTGCCCAGCTGGGCTCAGCCTGCCTCTGCCTGGCTGCCTGGCCTAGGTCAGCCCCTCTGTCTCCTTGGGCTCCGGCCTCATTAATAAATACGAAGCCTGCCTGCCTTTCATTCTTTCCCGCCATTTCTCTTCTCTCCTCAGTTGCCAGGGGATTTTAGGAAACTTGTAAGAAAGATGTAAAACAAAATTCTATGTCTATATACATGAAAGCTAAAGCCTCAAGATCAGAGAGGAAGATCATGGTCCTAAACAGTTGCTCTAGTGGAATCACAATTTGGTTCTGAATTTTCTGGCAGCCAGAATGAAAAGGGAAACAGACAATTTTTATTCTCATTGTTCATGAGGGAAAAAATACATTGGTTTGCAGGAGCAGGTCTCAGAGCAGGTACCACTTTTCCTAATGCCTCACTCTTTAGAAATTTCCCAGCTCGTGTCAAAGAGATGATATTGAGAGATGTATTAGATCACGTCTTGAACAATGGCTCTGCCAAATATGCAGCCACAGTTTTCCTGGGGCTGTTTCATTCAGCATCCCTCCCTGGCCGGGGAGGGCATGAGTAAAACATGACTTGACAAGGGCAGTTCTCCCTGGGAGCGGTCGGGTTGCGAGAAGAAGGCAGTGCGGCCAAGGCATTTTGTCTCTGACAGTCCAGTTTAATCTCAGAATAAAACAGAGAGCAGACAGAGAAGTGGACAGACAGCATGACTTTCAAGCAGTCTTCTGTCGATCTCGTCTTCACCCATCTTGGTTTTGATCCTTGCTGGGCAAACCATACTGTGAGGGTAAAGCCTCTGGCATGGACCAAGTACTGCGTGTTGTGTTGCTGGGTGTGGTGAGCCCATCCCTTTACCAGATAACGTGGAGTTGACGTCACGTTGTGGGTGTTAGGGGCCTTATTAATCGCAGTGTTCACCTGGACATATGGTTCAGCGGTGAGCCAAGGAAATGCTGGGCAAGACCAAGCTATTGCCTTAAAAAGAATCCTGAGATGTGCACTGTGCTGCCCATAGCAGCATTATTCCAGCCGCCAAACGGGAGAAACCGGCCGCTGTCCATCAGCAGGTGAATGGATAAACAAGCTGTGCTGCAGCCACAGACGGGACGCTGTTCAGCCCGAATAACACGCTGCACCGTGAACGAACCTTGAAGTCACTGTGCTAAGCGAGATAAGCCAGACACAAAAAGATGCGTATTGTAAGGTTTCCACTGCTAAGAGGTGCCAGGAAGCGTTAAACTCGCAAAGGAGAAAGTAGAACGGTGCTCACCAGGGCCCAGGGAAGACGATGGGTGGGGAGTTGTGTAATGGGTACAGAGCTTCAGGCTGGGGAGGGGAAAAACTTCTGGAGATGGATCCTGGTGTCGGTCGCAGGACAATATGAATGTCCTTAACGCCACTGAACTTTACACTTAAAAAATGACAAAAATTTTTATGTCATTTTTATGTCTTTACCACAATCTGGGGCTACCTCAGCTCACCAAGGAACCTATCACCTCCCCACAACTTCTTTAGCATAGAGCACAGCCCAGATGATGGTTTGAAATAGAACTTAAGCTCTGGGTTATCGAGGCCAGGAAAATGCTCAGTACTGCTCCCCTACAATACCTAGTTTAGTGGTTCTTAAAAATCTTGTTTCACCCTTAGCTGACGTGGCTCAGTGGTTAAAGTGTTGGCCCATGGACTGAAGTTTCTCGGGTTCAATTCCGGTCCAGAGCACGTACCTCGGTTGCAGGCTCCATCCCCAGCCCCAGCCCCAGTCCAGTCGAGGCAAGTGCTGGAGGCAACCAGTCAATGTATCTCTCTCACATCAATGTTTCTCTCTCTCTCTCTTTCTCCACCCCCCCCTTCCACTCTCTGAAAAACAATGTAAAAATATCCTCAGGTGAGGATTAAAAAAACAAAATCTTGTTTTGAAGGTACATTGCTGCCCTCCCACCTTCAGAGATAGAGAATCAATCTCAGTTTACATCTGGATGAATGAGTTGTGAAGGTGCATGCCTAAGTAACTAAACGAGTTCACCTAGTGCACTGGGTGCCTGGACATAAGCCAATGAGCGATAGGAGGACAATCTGCTCCCAAATTACTCTGATTTAAAAAATTTGGTATTTATCCATTTTTTTCTGACAGTAATTTGATAACAGGATGGTCCAATGGCCTATGGAGGACACTACTAGTTTGTAACAATAAAATTATATCATCAGCCTCATATGGCACAATACTTACCATCTAAGATCTCCAAAAACACTCCCTTAAAATAAATATGAATAAATTAAATAAATATAAATAAAATATAAGGTAAAAAAGAAGGGAACAGCCCTCCTTTACTCTGCTCAGAATTATCAGGTGAAGTAATTACCCACCCTATTGTTCCTACTGGGGTAAAAATGCGTACGTGTGTGTGCCCTATGCACATCAGTGATGGGTTACGTCATCTCGGGAACCTGAGCCATTTCTATTAAGTTTCATTCTACAAGGTTAAAAGCTAAGGAGAAGCAATAAGAGCTTGAAGCCCTTTTTTATGTTTCTTAAGTAGTTTCCCTGTGATCTGATTAAGAGGTTGACATTGGTCAGCAGGATGTCACTGTGCGTGAGGCCAGCTTGCTCCTTGTGCGAAACACCAGCCCCAAAAACCCTGACCTGCACTTGGTGGCAGGAAGTGGACCCAGACTGTAGGCAGACTGTTCAGTCTGTAACAGGGAGATGGATCGACCAGCCCCCATGCCTGTCCATACCAGCTCCCCTCAAACCCACACGTGTGGTTATGAAAATAGGCCTGTGGGATGGGGAGCCTGCGACTGGAACAGGCTCGAAGCACCTCCCAGTGGAGTAAGGGAGGGAGAGGTGTCAAGGATCAGAGGAGCTGAAGGATCTAGTCCCTTGGGAAGGTTGGTTCCTGTGCTGCACAGCCTGGCTGGTGGGAGTTCACACGCAGCTCAACACTGGCAGGGAGATGGAGTGGAATCCAGGACTTTCTACAGAGAGAGAGGGAGGGCTGTGCTAGCTGGGCCTCAGATTCAGAGAGGCCTGCATTCAAACCTTCCCTCCACTCCCCTCGCACCTACATAACTCCCATGGCCTTTCTTTCCTCCTTGCCCCTTGGTCCCACCTATGAGCATTCAGGCATGCACCACCCCCATTCTTTCAAGGCTGTGATGGAACCACAGGGACCTGGAGCCGGAGGCCAAATCTGAGCCTGTGTGGGAATTTTTCTTCTGCATGTGATGGTCATTTTGCTCAGCTAATTCCCAAGGCCCAGCTGGGTGGAGGGTCCTCAGTGCACAGTCCACAGTCTCCTGCAAATGTTTCCATTGGAGCCAAGGCCAAGGTGATGTTCATGGCAATGGATTGTCCAGGGGCTCAGTTAGAGCTGGTTCCCAGAGGGTTTGCAGGGCTCTGAGGGGAAGGGGAGAGAGGCTAGAGCTTTCTGCAGCTTCCAGGTCTCAGTGAGAGCAGTTTAGTTTTTATCTGGTACATACGTGGGGCGCTGATGTGAGATGTCAGCTTTGAAGAACTGCTCTGCTAAAAGCAAATGAGTGTGTGTGTATGGGCATGTATGTATATGTGTAAACATGCAGGCATATAAACGTACATATATATGCTCATTAGTGATGGGCCATTTAGAATGATGGTCATAATCTGAGGCATTTTCTAAAACGTGGCAGTACCTATCCCGCAGCAGGGTCTCAATAAATATTTGATGGATGAGTAAGTGAGAAACTGGAGGTGTGTGTGGTGGGGACAGGAAGGTATAGTCTGGGGGAAGGAAGGGCCTCAGTCAACTATGATCATTAGCCAATTTGCTTTTGGTAAATGGACTATAGGAGAAAACTCTCTATTTTTTTTTCCTACAAGTTTAACAGACTCTTCCTCTTTCCCCACTGTCCCTGCTCCTTTCTTTTTTCCATTTCAGCTCTACAACGGGCCAGCAGCTTCCAGTCCCCAACTCCCAGCAAATACCAGAGCTGGAGAAGAAAATTCCAGTCAAGTGAGTCATGAGTTCTCTGGGGGTGGGG